GTTAAATCTGCGGATGGTACAAGTGACCGTCCAGGTGCAGGAGCTGGTTGGTTTGGCGGTTTTGCAGGATTGAATAGAAATGGAGGTTCAGGAGGAGGAAGTTCATGGGCACTAACTAAAGCATTAGATTACCCCAGTGGAAATATCACAGTCTACGATAGTTTTTATAAAAATATTGGTAGTCAACCATATGCATTCAACTCTAGTGATGGTTATTTCTTCAATGATATTCGAAACTATGCTGGTATTTGGGAAGGCAACGGACAACTCATTTTAACAATTCTCGACACTTTGAAATGTCCCACTTTCTATTCATCATATATCCCTTCTTCAATATTATTCACTTTTATCATTTTAGGATTAAACTAAAATTTTCCGATTTGAAATGACGAACGTTATATTTTTTGATATAAAGCTAGATTTAAACTATTCCTCTAATATGCTATAAAAATTTCATATCATACTGGTAACATAATAAAATCAAAAATTACTATGGGTTCAACTACTTAATCTTGTATGAATTTTATTTTGTTATGTTTTCCATAAGTTTGATTTTCTTGTCAAACTAAAAATGCATTTATGGAATTTGCATAATGATGAGAGCAACATAGTTTTCATAAATCAATTTGTTAATATTTTTTATTTCATTTCCATGAAATAAGACTTGGACTTAGAAACCGAGAATAATATGTTTTTATCGAGAATTCAATTAAATTTCATCGATTAAACAACAAGAAAATATTACGATAATCATCGGTATACGTAATTTCAACAACATATAGAATATTATGTCGAAACCTTCATTTAAGAAAAGTTGCAAAATATATTTAAAATCGAATTGTCTATCTAATTAAAGAGGTCAATAGAAAGGCCAGGATCAGCTGATTCGTGTATTCAAAGATAATGTGATTTTATTGGTTTCATAAAGATATATTCATAAAATCAAGTAAAAACTTTCATAAAAAATAAATGCAGTTTAACCTTATTGAATATATTAGTATGTCCTTGAACAAGGAGACCAGTAACATGAAGTACATGGTCGAATATCATGAAAGGATTCGGTCTAAGGCAAAATTGAAACCGAACAAAGAAGTTAAGAAATTATGATTCCATCCGTTATAGTCGATAAGTTTATATAAGTCGTTAAATGATTTCATATCATCTTGTAAATGAATCTATTAGGACTGAAGATGTTATTGTTGATGAAACTAATAAAAGATATATCTTCAAGTATCCATGTACATCAAATAGTGAATGTACAGATTATTTTGTTAGTTTACCTGCAGGTGTGTACAAATTTGAGTTGTATGGTGCCTCAGGAGGAGCAACTGAAGGAAAAGTTTCGACTTTCATTGATTCGAATGGAAATTGCACGAGTCAAGAGATTGTAACTGCATTCGGCGGAAACACAGAATGCAAGAAAAAGAATAGTCGAGGAGGCTCTGGCGGTTATATCTCAGGAACAATAATACTTTCTAAGCGAACAACCACTTTTTTTACAATCGGCGGTCGCGGAATCTATACATACAAAATTACAGAGGAACAAACAGAGCGATGCTATATCCAAGAAAATATGGTTGCTGGAGGATATGGCGGTGGCGGATACGCAGCTAATTGGTATCGAAATGAAGTTGATAATGGCTCAGGGAGCGGAGGCGGCCAAACATGTGTCAAATTTGAGAAGAACGATCTCTGGCATCGCGTTATTGTAAGCGGCGGCGGTGGTGGCTCAGACAATAGTGCTAGCGTGAATACTGAGTTTCGAGGTCCAGATGATGGCTCAGGAGGTTCAGGAGGAGGAATTATTTCGCAAGGTTATTGGGTAGATGGAAAATATAATGGCGAAAGATTGGCAAATTCTTCTTTTGGCTTCAGTTTTGGATATGGAGAATCTGCACGACAATATTCATCATTACATGAGCACGGTGTTAAATCTGCGGATGGTACAAGTGACCGTCCAGGTGCAGGAGCTGGTTGGTTTGGCGGTTTTGCAGGATTGAATAGAAATGGAGGTTCAGGAGGAGGAAGTTCATGGGCACTAACTAAAGCATTAGATTACCCCAGTGGAAATATCACAGTCTACGATAGTTTTTATAAAAATATTGGTAGTCAACCATATGCATTCAACTCTAGTGATGGTTATTTCTTCAATGATATTCGAAACTATGCTGGTATTTGGGAAGGCAACGGACAACTCATTTTAACAATTCTCGACACTTTGAAATGTCCCACTTTCTATTCATCATATATCCCTTCTTCAATATTATTCACTTTTATCATTTTAGGATTAAACTAAAATTTTCCGATTTGAAATGACGAACGTTATATTTTTTGATATAAAGCTAGATTTAAACTATTCCTCTAATATGCTATAAAAATTTCATATCATACTGGTAACATAATAAAATCAAAAATTACTATGGGTTCAACTACTTAATCTTGTATGAATTTTATTTTGTTATGTTTTCCATAAGTTTGATTTTCTTGTCAAACTAAAAATGCATTTATGGAATTTGCATAATGATGAGAGCAACATAGTTTTCATAAATCAATTTGTTAATATTTTTTATTTCATTTCCATGAAATAAGACTTGGACTTAGAAACCGAGAATAATATGTTTTTATCGAGAATTCAATTAAATTTCATCGATTAAACAACAAGAAAATATTACGATAATCATCGGTATACGTAATTTCAACAACATATAGAATATTATGTCGAAACCTTCATTTAAGAAAAGTTGCAAAATATATTTAAAATCGAATTGTCTATCTAATTAAAGAGGTCAATAGAAAGGCCAGGATCAGCTGATTCGTGTATTCAAAGATAATGTGATTTTATTGGTTTCATAAAGATATATTCATAAAATCAAGTAAAAACTTTCATAAAAAATAAATGCAGTTTAACCTTATTGAATATATTAGTATGTCCTTGAACAAGGAGACCAGTAACATGAAGTACATGGTCGAATATCATGAAAGGATTCGGTCTAAGGCAAAATTGAAACCGAACAAAGAAGTTAAGAAATTATGATTCCATCCGTTATAGTCGATAAGTTTATATAAGTCGTTAAATGATTTCATATCATCTTGTAAATGAATCTATTAGGACTGAAGATGTTATTGTTGATGAAACTAATAAAAGATATATCTTCAAGTATCCATGTACATCAAATAGTGAATGTACAGATTATTTTGTTAGTTTACCTGCAGGTGTGTACAAATTTGAGTTGTATGGTGCCTCAGGAGGAGCAACTGAAGGAAAAGTTTCGACTTTCATTGATTCGAATGGAAATTGCACGAGTCAAGAGATTGTAACTGCATTCGGCGGAAACACAGAATGCAAGAAAAAGAATAGTCGAGGAGGCTCTGGCGGTTATATCTCAGGAACAATAATACTTTCTAAGCGAACAACCACTTTTTTTACAATCGGCGGTCGCGGAATCTATACATACAAAATTACAGAGGAACAAACAGAGCGATGCTATATCCAAGAAAATATGGTTGCTGGAGGATATGGCGGTGGCGGATACGCAGCTAATTGGTATCGAAATGAAGTTGATAATGGCTCAGGGAGCGGAGGCGGCCAAACATGTGTCAAATTTGAGAAGAACGATCTCTGGCATCGCGTTATTGTAAGCGGCGGCGGTGGTGGCTCAGACAATAGTGCTAGCGTGAATACTGAGTTTCGAGGTCCAGATGATGGCTCAGGAGGTTCAGGAGGAGGAATTATTTCGCAAGGTTATTGGGTAGATGGAAAATATAATGGCGAAAGATTGGCAAATTCTTCTTTTGGCTTCAGTTTTGGATATGGAGAATCTGCACGACAATATTCATCATTACATGAGCACGGTGTTAAATCTGCGGATGGTACAAGTGACCGTCCAGGTGCAGGAGCTGGTTGGTTTGGCGGTTTTGCAGGATTGAATAGAAATGGAGGTTCAGGAGGAGGAAGTTCATGGGCACTAACTAAAGCATTAGATTACCCCAGTGGAAATATCACAGTCTACGATAGTTTTTATAAAAATATTGGTAGTCAACCATATGCATTCAACTCTAGTGATGGTTATTTCTTCAATGATATTCGAAACTATGCTGGTATTTGGGAAGGCAACGGACAACTCATTTTAACAATTCTCGACACTTTGAAATGTCCCACTTTCTATTCATCATATATCCCTTCTTCAATATTATTCACTTTTATCATTTTAGGATTAAACTAAAATTTTCCGATTTGAAATGACGAACGTTATATTTTTTGATATAAAGCTAGATTTAAACTATTCCTCTAATATGCTATAAAAATTTCATATCATACTGGTAACATAATAAAATCAAAAATTACTATGGGTTCAACTACTTAATCTTGTATGAATTTTATTTTGTTATGTTTTCCATAAGTTTGATTTTCTTGTCAAACTAAAAATGCATTTATGGAATTTGCATAATGATGAGAGCAACATAGTTTTCATAAATCAATTTGTTAATATTTTTTATTTCATTTCCATGAAATAAGACTTGGACTTAGAAACCGAGAATAATATGTTTTTATCGAGAATTCAATTAAATTTCATCGATTAAACAACAAGAAAATATTACGATAATCATCGGTATACGTAATTTCAACAACATATAGAATATTATGTCGAAACCTTCATTTAAGAAAAGTTGCAAAATATTTTAAAATCGAATTGTCTATCTAATTAAAGAGGTCAATAGAAAGGCCAGGATCAGCTGATTCGTGTATTCAAAGATAATGTGATTTTATTGGTTTCATAAAGATATATTCATAAAATCAAGTAAAAACTTTCATAAAAAATAAATGCAGTTTAACCTTATTGAATATATTAGTATGTCCTTGAACAAGGAGACCAGTAACATGAAGTACATGGTCGAATATCATGAAAGGATTCGGTCTAAGGCAAAATTGAAACCGAACAAAGAAGTTAAGAAATTATGATTCCATCCGTTATAGTCGATAAGTTTATATAAGTCGTTAAATGATTTCATATCATCTTGTAAATGAATCTATTAGGACTGAAGATGTTATTGTTGATGAAACTAATAAAAGATATATCTTCAAGTATCCATGTACATCAAATAGTGAATGTACAGATTATTTTGTTAGTTTACCTGCAGGTGTGTACAAATTTGAGTTGTATGGTGCCTCAGGAGGAGCAACTGAAGGAAAAGTTTCGACTTTCATTGATTCGAATGGAAATTGCACGAGTCAAGAGATTGTAACTGCATTCGGCGGAAACACAGAATGCAAGAAAAAGAATAGTCGAGGAGGCTCTGGCGGTTATATCTCAGGAACAATAATACTTTCTAAGCGAACAACCACTTTTTTTACAATCGGCGGTCGCGGAATCTATACATACAAAATTACAGAGGAACAAACAGAGCGATGCTATATCCAAGAAAATATGGTTGCTGGAGGATATGGCGGTGGCGGATACGCAGCTAATTGGTATCGAAATGAAGTTGATAATGGCTCAGGGAGCGGAGGCGGCCAAACATGTGTCAAATTTGAGAAGAACGATCTCTGGCATCGCGTTATTGTAAGCGGCGGCGGTGGTGGCTCAGACAATAGTGCTAGCGTGAATACTGAGTTTCGAGGTCCAGATGATGGCTCAGGAGGTTCAGGAGGAGGAATTATTTCGCAAGGTTATTGGGTAGATGGAAAATATAATGGCGAAAGATTGGCAAATTCTTCTTTTGGCTTCAGTTTTGGATATGGAGAATCTGCACGACAATATTCATCATTACATGAGCACGGTGTTAAATCTGCGGATGGTACAAGTGACCGTCCAGGTGCAGGAGCTGGTTGGTTTGGCGGTTTTGCAGGATTGAATAGAAATGGAGGTTCAGGAGGAGGAAGTTCATGGGCACTAACTAAAGCATTAGATTACCCCAGTGGAAATATCACAGTCTACGATAGTTTTTATAAAAATATTGGTAGTCAACCATATGCATTCAACTCTAGTGATGGTTATTTCTTCAATGATATTCGAAACTATGCTGGTATTTGGGAAGGCAACGGACAACTCATTTTAACAATTCTCGACACTTTGAAATGTCCCACTTTCTATTCATCATATATCCCTTCTTCAATATTATTCACTTTTATCATTTTAGGATTAAACTAAAATTTTCCGATTTGAAATGACGAACGTTATATTTTTTGATATAAAGCTAGATTTAAACTATTCCTCTAATATGCTATAAAAATTTCATATCATACTGGTAACATAATAAAATCAAAAATTACTATGGGTTCAACTACTTAATCTTGTATGAATTTTATTTTGTTATGTTTTCCATAAGTTTGATTTTCTTGTCAAACTAAAAATGCATTTATGGAATTTGCATAATGATGAGAGCAACATAGTTTTCATAAATCAATTTGTTAATATTTTTTATTTCATTTCCATGAAATAAGACTTGGACTTAGAAACCGAGAATAATATGTTTTTATCGAGAATTCAATTAAATTTCATCGATTAAACAACAAGAAAATATTACGATAATCATCGGTATACGTAATTTCAACAACATATAGAATATTATGTCGAAACCTTCATTTAAGAAAAGTTGCAAAATATATTTAAAATCGAATTGTCTATCTAATTAAAGAGGTCAATAGAAAGGCCAGGATCAGCTGATTCGTGTATTCAAAGATAATGTGATTTTATTGGTTTCATAAAGATATATTCATAAAATCAAGTAAAAACTTTCATAAAAAATAAATGCAGTTTAACCTTATTGAATATATTAGTATGTCCTTGAACAAGGAGACCAGTAACATGAAGTACATGGTCGAATATCATGAAAGGATTCGGTCTAAGGCAAAATTGAAACCGAACAAAGAAGTTAAGAAATTATGATTCCATCCGTTATAGTCGATAAGTTTATATAAGTCGTTAAATGATTTCATATCATCTTGTAAATGAATCTATTAGGACTGAAGATGTTATTGTTGATGAAACTAATAAAAGATATATCTTCAAGTATCCATGTACATCAAATAGTGAATGTACAGATTATTTTGTTAGTTTACCTGCAGGTGTGTACAAATTTGAGTTGTATGGTGCCTCAGGAGGAGCAACTGAAGGAAAAGTTTCGACTTTCATTGATTCGAATGGAAATTGCACGAGTCAAGAGATTGTAACTGCATTCGGCGGAAACACAGAATGCAAGAAAAAGAATAGTCGAGGAGGCTCTGGCGGTTATATCTCAGGAACAATAATACTTTCTAAGCGAACAACCACTTTTTTTACAATCGGCGGTCGCGGAATCTATACATACAAAATTACAGAGGAACAAACAGAGCGATGCTATATCCAAGAAAATATGGTTGCTGGAGGATATGGCGGTGGCGGATACGCAGCTAATTGGTATCGAAATGAAGTTGATAATGGCTCAGGGAGCGGAGGCGGCCAAACATGTGTCAAATTTGAGAAGAACGATCTCTGGCATCGCGTTATTGTAAGCGGCGGCGGTGGTGGCTCAGACAATAGTGCTAGCGTGAATACTGAGTTTCGAGGTCCAGATGATGGCTCAGGAGGTTCAGGAGGAGGAATTATTTCGCAAGGTTATTGGGTAGATGGAAAATATAATGGCGAAAGATTGGCAAATTCTTCTTTTGGCTTCAGTTTTGGATATGGAGAATCTGCACGACAATATTCATCATTACATGAGCACGGTGTTAAATCTGCGGATGGTACAAGTGACCGTCCAGGTGCAGGAGCTGGTTGGTTTGGCGGTTTTGCAGGATTGAATAGAAATGGAGGTTCAGGAGGAGGAAGTTCATGGGCACTAACTAAAGCATTAGATTACCCCAGTGGAAATATCACAGTCTACGATAGTTTTTATAAAAATATTGGTAGTCAACCATATGCATTCAACTCTAGTGATGGTTATTTCTTCAATGATATTCGAAACTATGCTGGTATTTGGGAAGGCAACGGACAACTCATTTTAACAATTCTCGACACTTTGAAATGTCCCACTTTCTATTCATCATATATCCCTTCTTCAATATTATTCACTTTTATCATTTTAGGATTAAACTAAAATTTTCCGATTTGAAATGACGAACGTTATATTTTTTGATATAAAGCTAGATTTAAACTATTCCTCTAATATGCTATAAAAATTTCATATCATACTGGTAACATAATAAAATCAAAAATTACTATGGGTTCAACTACTTAATCTTGTATGAATTTTATTTTGTTATGTTTTCCATAAGTTTGATTTTCTTGTCAAACTAAAAATGCATTTATGGAATTTGCATAATGATGAGAGCAACATAGTTTTCATAAATCAATTTGTTAATATTTTTTATTTCATTTCCATGAAATAAGACTTGGACTTAGAAACCGAGAATAATATGTTTTTATCGAGAATTCAATTAAATTTCATCGATTAAACAACAAGAAAATATTACGATAATCATCGGTATACGTAATTTCAACAACATATAGAATATTATGTCGAAACCTTCATTTAAGAAAAGTTGCAAAATATATTTAAAATCGAATTGTCTATCTAATTAAAGAGGTCAATAGAAAGGCCAGGATCAGCTGATTCGTGTATTCAAAGATAATGTGATTTTATTGGTTTCATAAAGATATATTCATAAAATCAAGTAAAAACTTTCATAAAAAATAAATGCAGTTTAACCTTATTGAATATATTAGTATGTCCTTGAACAAGGAGACCAGTAACATGAAGTACATGGTCGAATATCATGAAAGGATTCGGTCTAAGGCAAAATTGAAACCGAACAAAGAAGTTAAGAAATTATGATTCCATCCGTTATAGTCGATAAGTTTATATAAGTCGTTAAATGATTTCATATCATCTTGTAAATGAATCTATTAGGACTGAAGATGTTATTGTTGATGAAACTAATAAAAGATATATCTTCAAGTATCCATGTACATCAAATAGTGAATGTACAGATTATTTTGTTAGTTTACCTGCAGGTGTGTACAAATTTGAGTTGTATGGTGCCTCAGGAGGAGCAACTGAAGGAAAAGTTTCGACTTTCATTGATTCGAATGGAAATTGCACGAGTCAAGAGATTGTAACTGCATTCGGCGGAAACACAGAATGCAAGAAAAAGAATAGTCGAGGAGGCTCTGGCGGTTATATCTCAGGAACAATAATACTTTCTAAGCGAACAACCACTTTTTTTACAATCGGCGGTCGCGGAATCTATACATACAAAATTACAGAGGAACAAACAGAGCGATGCTATATCCAAGAAAATATGGTTGCTGGAGGATATGGCGGTGGCGGATACGCAGCTAATTGGTATCGAAATGAAGTTGATAATGGCTCAGGGAGCGGAGGCGGCCAAACATGTGTCAAATTTGAGAAGAACGATCTCTGGCATCGCGTTATTGTAAGCGGCGGCGGTGGTGGCTCAGACAATAGTGCTAGCGTGAATACTGAGTTTCGAGGTCCAGATGATGGCTCAGGAGGTTCAGGAGGAGGAATTATTTCGCAAGGTTATTGGGTAGATGGAAAATATAATGGCGAAAGATTGGCAAATTCTTCTTTTGGCTTCAGTTTTGGATATGGAGAATCTGCACGACAATATTCATCATTACATGAGCACGGTGTTAAATCTGCGGATGGTACAAGTGACCGTCCAGGTGCAGGAGCTGGTTGGTTTGGCGGTTTTGCAGGATTGAATAGAAATGGAGGTTCAGGAGGAGGAAGTTCATGGGCACTAACTAAAGCATTAGATTACCCCAGTGGAAATATCACAGTCTACGATAGTTTTTATAAAAATATTGGTAGTCAACCATATGCATTCAACTCTAGTGATGGTTATTTCTTCAATGATATTCGAAACTATGCTGGTATTTGGGAAGGCAACGGACAACTCATTTTAACAATTCTCGACACTTTGAAATGTCCCACTTTCTATTCATCATATATCCCTTCTTCAATATTATTCACTTTTATCATTTTAGGATTAAACTAAAATTTTCCGATTTGAAATGACGAACGTTATATTTTTTGATATAAAGCTAGATTTAAACTATTCCTCTAATATGCTATAAAAATTTCATATCATACTGGTAACATAATAAAATCAAAAATTACTATGGGTTCAACTACTTAATCTTGTATGAATTTTATTTTGTTATGTTTTCCATAAGTTTGATTTTCTTGTCAAACTAAAAATGCATTTATGGAATTTGCATAATGATGAGAGCAACATAGTTTTCATAAATCAATTTGTTAATATTTTTTATTTCATTTCCATGAAATAAGACTTGGACTTAGAAACCGAGAATAATATGTTTTTATCGAGAATTCAATTAAATTTCATCGATTAAACAACAAGAAAATATTACGATAATCATCGGTATACGTAATTTCAACAACATATAGAATATTATGTCGAAACCTTCATTTAAGAAAAGTTGCAAAATATATTTAAAATCGAATTGTCTATCTAATTAAAGAGGTCAATAGAAAGGCCAGGATCAGCTGATTCGTGTATTCAAAGATAATGTGATTTTATTGGTTTCATAAAGATATATTCATAAAATCAAGTAAAAACTTTCATAAAAAATAAATGCAGTTTAACCTTATTGAATATATTAGTATGTCCTTGAACAAGGAGACCAGTAACATGAAGTACATGGTCGAATATCATGAAAGGATTCGGTCTAAGGCAAAATTGAAACCGAACAAAGAAGTTAAGAAATTATGATTCCATCCGTTATAGTCGATAAGTTTATATAAGTCGTTAAATGATTTCATATCATCTTGTAAATGAATCTATTAGGACTGAAGATGTTATTGTTGATGAAACTAATAAAAGATATATCTTCAAGTATCCATGTACATCAAATAGTGAATGTACAGATTATTTTGTTAGTTTACCTGCAGGTGTGTACAAATTTGAGTTGTATGGTGCCTCAGGAGGAGCAACTGAAGGAAAAGTTTCGACTTTCATTGATTCGAATGGAAATTGCACGAGTCAAGAGATTGTAACTGCATTCGGCGGAAACACAGAATGCAAGAAAAAGAATAGTCGAGGAGGCTCTGGCGGTTATATCTCAGGAACAATAATACTTTCTAAGCGAACAACCACTTTTTTTACAATCGGCGGTCGCGGAATCTATACATACAAAATTACAGAGGAACAAACAGAGCGATGCTATATCCAAGAAAATATGGTTGCTGGAGGATATGGCGGTGGCGGATACGCAGCTAATTGGTATCGAAATGAAGTTGATAATGGCTCAGGGAGCGGAGGCGGCCAAACATGTGTCAAATTTGAGAAGAACGATCTCTGGCATCGCGTTATTGTAAGCGGCGGCGGTGGTGGCTCAGACAATAGTGCTAGCGTGAATACTGAGTTTCGAGGTCCAGATGATGGCTCAGGAGGTTCAGGAGGAGGAATTATTTCGCAAGGTTATTGGGTAGATGGAAAATATAATGGCGAAAGATTGGCAAATTCTTCTTTTGGCTTCAGTTTTGGATATGGAGAATCTGCACGACAATATTCATCATTACATGAGCACGGTGTTAAATCTGCGGATGGTACAAGTGACCGTCCAGGTGCAGGAGCTGGTTGGTTTGGCGGTTTTGCAGGATTGAATAGAAATGGAGGTTCAGGAGGAGGAAGTTCATGGGCACTAACTAAAGCATTAGATTACCCCAGTGGAAATATCACAGTCTACGATAGTTTTTATAAAAATATTGGTAGTCAACCATATGCATTCAACTCTAGTGATGGTTATTTCTTCAATGATATTCGAAACTATGCTGGTATTTGGGAAGGCAACGGACAACTCATTTTAACAATTCTCGACACTTTGAAATGTCCCACTTTCTATTCATCATATATCCCTTCTTCAATATTATTCACTTTTATCATTTTAGGATTAAACTAAAATTTTCCGATTTGAAATGACGAACGTTATATTTTTTGATATAAAGCTAGATTTAAACTATTCCTCTAATATGCTATAAAAATTTCATATCATACTGGTAACATAATAAAATCAAAAATTACTATGGGTTCAACTACTTAATCTTGTATGAATTTTATTTTGTTATGTTTTCCATAAGTTTGATTTTCTTGTCAAACTAAAAATGCATTTATGGAATTTGCATAATGATGAGAGCAACATAGTTTTCATAAATCAATTTGTTAATATTTTTTATTTCATTTCCATGAAATAAGACTTGGACTTAGAAACCGAGAATAATATGTTTTTATCGAGAATTCAATTAAATTTCATCGATTAAACAACAAGAAAATATTACGATAATCATCGGTATACGTAATTTCAACAACATATAGAATATTATGTCGAAACCTTCATTTAAGAAAAGTTGCAAAATATATTTAAAATCGAATTGTCTATCTAATTAAAGAGGTCAATAGAAAGGCCAGGATCAGCTGATTCGTGTATTCAAAGATAATGTGATTTTATTGGTTTCATAAAGATATATTCATAAAATCAAGTAAAAACTTTCATAAAAAATAAATGCAGTTTAACCTTATTGAATATATTAGTATGTCCTTGAACAAGGAGACCAGTAACATGAAGTACATGGTCGAATATCATGAAAGGATTCGGTCTAAGGCAAAATTGAAACCGAACAAAGAAGTTAAGAAATTATGATTCCATCCGTTATAGTCGATAAGTTTATATAAGTCGTTAAATGATTTCATATCATCTTGTAAATGAATCTATTAGGACTGAAGATGTTATTGTTGATGAAACTAATAAAAGATATATCTTCAAGTATCCATGTACATCAAATAGTGAATGTACAGATTATTTTGTTAGTTTACCTGCAGGTGTGTACAAATTTGAGTTGTATGGTGCCTCAGGAGGAGCAACTGAAGGAAAAGTTTCGACTTTCATTGATTCGAATGGAAATTGCACGAGTCAAGAGATTGTAACTGCATTCGGCGGAAACACAGAATGCAAGAAAAAGAATAGTCGAGGAGGCTCTGGCGGTTATATCTCAGGAACAATAATACTTTCTAAGCGAACAACCACTTTTTTTACAATCGGCGGTCGCGGAATCTATACATACAAAATTACAGAGGAACAAACAGAGCGATGCTATATCCAAGAAAATATGGTTGCTGGAGGATATGGCGGTGGCGGATACGCAGCTAATTGGTATCGAAATGAAGTTGATAATGGCTCAGGGAGCGGAGGCGGCCAAACATGTGTCAAATTTGAGAAGAACGATCTCTGGCATCGCGTTATTGTAAGCGGCGGCGGTGGTGGCTCAGACAATAGTGCTAGCGTGAATACTGAGTTTCGAGGTCCAGATGATGGCTCAGGAGGTTCAGGAGGAGGAATTATTTCGCAAGGTTATTGGGTAGATGGAAAATATAATGGCGAAAGATTGGCAAATTCTTCTTTTGGCTTCAGTTTTGGATATGGAGAATCTGCACGACAATATTCATCATTACATGAGCACGGTGTTAAATCTGCGGATGGTACAAGTGACCGTCCAGGTGCAGGAGCTGGTTGGTTTGGCGGTTTTGCAGGATTGAATAGAAATGGAGGTTCAGGAGGAGGAAGTTCATGGGCACTAACTAAAGCATTAGATTACCCCAGTGGAAATATCACAGTCTACGATAGTTTTTATAAAAATATTGGTAGTCAACCATATGCATTCAACTCTAGTGATGGTTATTTCTTCAATGATATTCGAAACTATGCTGGTATTTGGGAAGGCAACGGACAACTCATTTTAACAATTCTCGACACTTTGAAATGTCCCACTTTCTATTCATCATATATCCCTTCTTCAATATTATTCACTTTTATCATTTTAGGATTAAACTAAAATTTTCCGATTTGAAATGACGAACGTTATATTTTTTGATATAAAGCTAGATTTAAACTATTCCTCTAATATGCTATAAAAATTTCATATCATACTGGTAACATAATAAAATCAAAAATTACTATGGGTTCAACTACTTAATCTTGTATGAATTTTATTTTGTTATGTTTTCCATAAGTTTGATTTTCTTGTCAAACTAAAAATGCATTTATGGAATTTGCATAATGATGAGAGCAACATAGTTTTCATAAATCAATTTGTTAATATTTTTTATTTCATTTCCATGAAATAAGACTTGGACTTAGAAACCGAGAATAATATGTTTTTATCGAGAATTCAATTAAATTTCATCGATTAAACAACAAGAAAATATTACGATAATCATCGGTATACGTAATTTCAACAACATATAGAATATTATGTCGAAACCTTCATTTAAGAAAAGTTGCAAAATATATTTAAAATCGAATTGTCTATCTAATTAAAGAGGTCAATAGAAAGGCCAGGATCAGCTGATTCGTGTATTCAAAGATAATGTGATTTTATTGGTTTCATAAAGATATATTCATAAAATCAAGTAAAAACTTTCATAAAAAATAAATGCAGTTTAACCTTATTGAATATATTAGTATGTCCTTGAACAAGGAGACCAGTAACATGAAGTACATGGTCGAATATCATGAAAGGATTCGGTCTAAGGCAAAATTGAAACCGAACAAAGAAGTTAAGAAATTATGATTCCATCCGTTATAGTCGATAAGTTTATATAAGTCGTTAAATGATTTCATATCATCTTGTAAATGAATCTATTAGGACTGAAGATGTTATTGTTGATGAAACTAATAAAAGATATATCTTCAAGTATCCATGTACATCAAATAGTGAATGTACAGATTATTTTGTTAGTTTACCTGCAGGTGTGTACAAATTTGAGTTGTATGGTGCCTCAGGAGGAGCAACTGAAGGAAAAGTTTCGACTTTCATTGATTCGAATGGAAATTGCACGAGTCAAGAGATTGTAACTGCATTCGGCGGAAACACAGAATGCAAACAAGTTAACAGCCGAGGAGGTTCGGGCGGCTATATCTCAGGAACAATAATACTTTCTAAAGGAACAACCGCTTTTTTCACAATCGGAGGTCGAGGAATATATAATTACAGCAAAAAGATGGCTGACAACGATGAATGCTATTTACCACAAAATATGATCCCAGGAGGATATGGCGGCGGAGGATATGCTGCAAATTGGTTTCTTTTCGATAATTATAACGGTGCAGGGAGCGGAGGCGGCCAAACCTGTGTCAAATTTGATAAAAACGATCTCTGGCATCGTGTGATTGTAAGCGGTGGAGGAGGGGGTTCAGACAATAGCGCTACCGATCGCACTGTCTTTCAAGGCCTAGATGATGGCTCAGGAGGTTCAGGCGGTGGAATTACCGCACAAGGATATTGGGATAATGGTGTATATAAAGATCAGAGTTTGGTAAATTCTTCTTTCGGTTTCAGTTTTGGATATGGAGAATCTCCACGAAGAGACACATCATTACATGATCAAGGTGTTAAATCTCCTGAAGGTGCAAGCGACCGCCCTGGTGCAGGAGCAGGTTGGTTCGGAGGATTCGCTGGTTTGTCAGGAAACGGAGGTTCAGGAGGAGGAAGTTCATGGGCATTGACGAGAGCCATGGATTTTCCAAAAGGAAACATTATAGCATACAATAGTTTCTATGAAAATATTGGTAGTCAACCATATGGCTTCAAGTACGAAGATGTATATTTCTTCAATAATGTTCGAAACTATCCAGGTCTATGGGAAGGCAATGGACAACTAATTTTAACTATTCTGGGAATATTGAAATGCTCATCCAACTATTCACCATATTTCTCTTCTTCAATATTATTCACCTTTATCATTTTAGGATTAAACTAAAAAGATTATTATCATTTTTTTTATTATTTCAGGATTTTCAAGGATATTTATAATTCCTCTGATAAAATTATATAATAAAGCATTATGTCTTAAAAGTAGATGAAATCAAAATTTAATATCGAATTTCATTCAAACAACAGAATTAGATCTTATTTTGGAGGAAATTTATATCTCTAATCAATATCAATACCTTGAAATCTATTTAACCACCATAAAATGATAAAAAATGAAAAATTTTTGAAAAAAAGAAAAAAATGCATGCAGGGGAAATCGAATCCTCGGCCTCAACAATGCAAATGTTGCGCTCTACCACTGAGTTATGCACCCTTTCGAAAGAAACCTGATTTAGGTTCTTAAGATATATAAAAGCACTTTCCTGTTAAAGTCTGAATTGAAGTTTGAGATTCATAAAAATATATGTGTATCAATTCGAAAAAATAAAACAAAAAATTTTTATATTACTACATTAAAGTAATTGTTGACAATCCGTACAATATCCTGTTTGTATTTTGATAATTCCGATCTTCTTCTGGAAGCATTTTTCACAAATAAATCTATGACATGATTTACAAGTGCAAACAGAATTCAAAATCTTTGTTCCACAAACACAACATGTATCAGCGTGTTCAGGAATCAAAGGATAACAAGAATTTCCAAAGAATGAAATCACAAAAGCTTTCGATGACGTGCAAAATGCAACTCTTTGTGATGCATTATCAATGGAAACACATAAAATATCATCCAAACCTGTTTCTAAAGTTCTTATCAAATTCTCGTAATGCCAGAAATTCAAAACACCGTTTGAATGTTCTGTAACGAAGAATCTGTTTGGAACTCCAAGAGGTAATTGACTTGAAACAGCACAAATACAATCACTCTCAAATTTCACTTCATTTTTGATTTGGCCGTTGAAATCCATAATCAAAAATTTTTCTTTTCCAATTACAGTTAAAATCGCAGCAAAATCATCAATTAAAATAGAAACAGGAACAAAATCTAGAACCAATGGTTCCAGTTTTTGACATTTCGCAATATTAATTCTTTCAATGATTTTCCCATGCGAAATAAAAATTAAAAAGTGACAACTTGAAATTGCCATAATTTCTGGTTTCGAATCCAACAAAATTCTTGAAACAAAAACAATTTCAGATACTTCGTTTTCAATGAAAACCAACTTGAAAAGATCAACATAGTAATCAAAGTGTCCAACTAACAAATAAAAAGTGTCAGATGAAATGACAAAATTACAAGCGGTTATTAAATTTTTGTCAGATTTCAAAACCGTTTTTTGATAGTCAGGTAAACTAACGGCCGAAATTTGACAATTTTCTCTATCAAGTGTCAAAACCGTTTTATTAAAAGGCGGCAAAATATAACCAATTTTTGTAAAAACGATAACTCTGTCTTCACCAATTTGAATTGCCTTTGGTTTTCCTTTGAAATTATTTATAATAATATGATGCCAAAACAAAAGATTTGGTTTAGACATCAAATGAATGACAGGTGGAGGATTTGACACTCTATTTTCAATGTTCAAATTAAATGTCGTATTTATCCATTGATGCAGATTTCCAATGTTATTAAGTTCTAAAACATATTTCTCGTTGAACATTCCTTCAGCTATTTTTACTTGTGATTTAATGTTCGGACTTTTGATGTAATTTGGCCCAATCCAATTAAATCCGTTTTTAATGTTCAGTATTTTACAAAAATTGAAATTGTCAATTCCTAAATTTTGCCAAGAAGTTGTTATTTCTTCTATAGACATATTCAATAATTTTGTAAACGAAAAAGGTGAAGATTTAACAATATTTCCTGGTAGTTTCTTGATATTTTGTTTGAGTTTTGGTTCGAAAACTTTGGAGATATTTAATAAATTATTTTGATCAACCATTATTAAAATATTCAAACCATTTGTGAAATAAACATTCAAGTTTGTCGCTGATTGACTAAAATACAACAAATTCTCCATGTTATATTCTAAAACAGGAACTCCTTCAATTGTGAAATAATCTCCGACAAAACTACCGAGAATTGTATCAAATTTACTTTGTTCGTTTTCTTTCAAAGGTAAAAACCAAAACTTTGAATCAGAGAAAAGGAATTTTCCGAAATAAGAAACATTTGAAGAAATCAAACATCCTTCAATTTCATGAGAAAATTTGTTTCCTTTGTTTAACAAAGCTCTTAAAACATATTTTCGAACTAAAGGACTTAAAGCAACAGGAGTACTAAATGACAACAATAATTCTCTGTATTTGGATTTATTTACGACTTTTGGAATCAAATAAAATTGAATGAACTCGTCACTTTTTATAAGTTGACTTTCAATTTCATTTGATGTTCCTCTGTCTTTTGGATCAGTTGTAAATTGTGGATAGCTGTATCCACATATACTCGGTTTGTTTGAATAAGTTACAACATTTACCAATAGATTTGGTGTCAAATTTGTCATAACTGGTGTAACTTTTTCATTGAAATTTCCTTGAGAATTAGAAACCAAACCAAATCTAATATTTTTCATTTCTGAATCCGATTTATTTTTGTTGTCATTTGAGTCAATACTTTTATCATTAGAAGATTTCTCAACTTCAATGTTTTTATCACTTTTATTTTCAGCATTTTCATTAAATGAATTTCTGTCACTTTTTACAACTTCATGATAATTTGTTTTTGATTGAGATTCATCATGATTTTTGTCACTTTTAGATACACCAAAATTAATAGTTTTAATTTGGTCAGGTGAAGTGACTTTGTCATTTTTAGAAGCATCTTTATTTTCTTTTTGTTTTTGGTCAGGTGAAGTGATTTTGTCACTTTTGCTCTTTTCAATTTTATTAATATTTCTATCATTACATAAAATTCTTTCTCTTTGCATCAAAAACAAAGAGACATCAGCAGAGAAAATTTCTGGTAAATAACTGTTCAAAATCATGTAAATAGAAGTAGAAACAATAAATCTTTTCTCAGTTTGATTAATAATCAACAAACCTTGTTCATTGTATTCATCCCATTTCGTTTCCAAAATTCCAAGTGTTTCTTCAAAAGAGTTTTCAAGTTTTGTGATGTTGAATTGAGTGAAATTTTGATGCAACATCAATCTTAAATTTGAAAACGCAACAAAAGCATTTTTGTTTGATTTCTCCCATTCTTGATATTTCTTTTCTCCTTCTGTCGCAAATATCTTTATTGCATCATAAAAGATTTTGAAATCAAAATTGTCAAAATTCTGATTTTTGACAAAATTTTCTTTGAAAGTTTTTGTGATTTGTAATTTTTCATAAAACTTTTGTATGACAATAATAAAGGATTGTGGATAGAAAGAGAACTGGCTGATAATAAAATGCAATGCCAGCATTACAAAACCAGTATTTGCCATGTTTTGTTCTGAGAAAATATAATCATTAAAATTCACAAACAATTCAACAAAAATATGATATTGATCATGAGGAATCAACTCAAAACCACTTAACAAAAGTGTTTTTATCTCTGTTGGAATAACTTCTACATTGTTCTGCTTCAAAATCAAAAAGAAAAGACTTAGAATTGGAGCTAAAGTTAATCCAAGCCATCCTTCGTAAAATTTGTTTGCAATGAAAATCATTACATCTAAATTATAAATGTTTCTTGATGCACATTCAGTTAACAGAGTGAAAACAAGTTTGTTACAAACTGTTTTCGCGTGTTTCGAAGTGAATAAACAAACTCCGTAAAAAATATCTTTGAAAATCTGAGGAAATTCTTTTGTTTCACTTCTTTCCAAAATGAAATTAACAACAAACTGAATAATGTCAAGGAACAAAACAGAACTCTCCAAATTTTCTTCATTTTGATTTGTTTTACTTGTTTGAACATGATTCTCATTGGTTTTCTCTTCAGATTTTGTATTTTCTTGTGAAGAAATAGTATTTTCATTATTTTCTTGCTTTTCTAAATTAGAGTTTTCATTAACTTTGCTTTCTACAGTTTTAACTGACTCTCCACTTTCATTTAATGCAATTTTTTCTCCTTTATTTTGTTTAGATTCTTCATTTTCATTAGAATTAACATATTTTTCATTAGTATTAGAATTTTCTTCCGACAAACTTTGAGATTTTTCTTTGTTTTCAACAGACAAACTTTGAGAAATTTCATTTTTCTCTTCAGAAGAGTTTGTTGAAATTTTAGAAATTTCATTATTTTGTTCTGTTGAAATTTTAGAATCATTTCCATTTCCTTCAGAATTAAAAGAAATTTCTTGATTTTCTTGATTTTTGCTTTCATTAGAAATTATTTCGGAATTTTTAGAATTTTCTTTGATTTCTTCATTTGATTTCTTTTTCATTGCGAATTTGTTGATTTGATTTTTCATGAATTTGCTCCATTTGTTTGTGATCAAATGTTTTTCGTCTGAGAAAACATCTTTGATCAAACTTTCCAAAAATTCATCTTGTTCTATTTCAATTTCTTCATTAATTTCAAACTTTTCAGGTAAAGAAATATGAATTTCTTCTTTAATTTTTTCATGCAAATGCTCAATTTTAAATTTATCACTTTTTGCAAATTGATGTTTTGAATAAATTGTTTCAGTATTTTTCTCTTTTTTCGCTCGATCAGATGCATAATGATAAATTTGTTCTGGTTTGGAACACCATGGAGCCATCGGATATAATATTAATTGGTCAGTGAAGTGACCAAAACTTAACAAATTTATCAAAGCAAAAATGTCACTTTTTGTTCCATTTATATCAGTAAAAATCAACTTCAAAAATCCGAACAAAGAATTAAAAATTGCTGTAAAAGTATCATCAAAATATTTGTAACTTGCCAACAAAACAGAAAACATCAAAAGAAAAGCAGGTAAAATATTTGAGTTCACTTTTTCAAATTCAAAATTAATTTGTTTTGTAAAGTCAATTTTTTCGCCGATTAAAGCGGTTACTATCGTACTCCAACTATAAATATTATCAACGTTATCCAAACAAAGAGATAATATCCGATGCATCTGTTTCTGAGGAAAATAATCGTCAAATTTACAAATATATTCAAACATTAATTCTAAACCGTCACAATTATGTAAAGTATCAAATAAATAGAAATCCTTGAATTCCTTTGTAATGTTTTCCTTAACAATTTCATAGTACTTCTTATAAAGTGTTTGCCTTGATGTAAAAAGTGACAAAAATGGAGTAACAATTTCACTTTTTGTTTTTCCATTTTCAACAAGAGATAAAAGGTTTAAAAGTAATTTTTCTGTTATTTCATGATTATTATCTGTTAAATAACTATGTATTAATTTTCTATGTAATATCTTCAAGTGTTTTTCATTAATTTCTGTTAAATGAATCTTAGAAATGTTGAAAATTTCTTCACTTATTTCTGGAAAAATTTGACAAATATCTGTGAAGAAAATAAAAAATAATTTTGAATCCAATTTGCCACTTTTATCGTTCATTGACAAAATTATCGAATTCAAGACATTCCTAGTGAAAATCTGTGGATATAAATACATAAGTGAACTGACCAAATAAATAAACTTTTCTTTGTCAAATTTGGTTTGTTTCGAACAAAATGAAGCAATGAATTGAATAAAATTGGAAATCTCTTCATATTTCTCTTGCTCAAGTTTGGCAAAAATTTTGTCAAATAACGGATATGACGGTTTGACAAAATTTTCAACAAAAACGGAAAAAGAAAGGGAAATTACAGGCATCGAGCCTTGCTGCATGTCTGTTCTATTAATGTAGCCACTCTCCATGTTGACATAATTATAAGAAGTTATTTTTGAAATTTCATTTTCAAAATCTGACAAAAATTTAACACCTTGAGAAAAAACATCCAAATTTTTGTTTTGTAATTTTCCTTTGAAAAATCTGATTGCTCCACCAATAAACCATGTTGTTTGGATACCAGATGTCGATCCAAACTCAATGTAATTGCATGGATGACCTTGGAATTCGTGAATCAATTCAGAATTCAAATAAATTTTAATATTCTCGGATTCATCACAAGAAATGAATACATTGTACCATTTTCCTTGTATAAGTGATGATTTAAGGACTTTTCCACTACAAAGGAGATCGTTTTTGAGAATAATTAAAACTGAACAACGAAATTGAACAATTTTTTGAGCTTGTTCTGGAAATTCGTGGAACATAAACCAGAAACTCATTGACTTGTTCGGATCTCCTTTGAAATCAGGATTCAACGAAATTGAATTTGAATAAGGAGATTTCGTAAATTCAAACAAAGGAAGTTGGTCAAAGGTTGAGCTTATTGCATTTATACACGTTTTAGGATACTCAATAAGCATTTTTGCGTGTTTTGGAAGTAAATATCTTTTGGCAATCTGAGAAATGCAGGGAAATTCACTTATCGGCCTGTTTGTGTCCTTTAGCCATGTATCTATAGCAAATTGGCCGCATACCCAGCAGTCAAAAGGAGATTTTATGTTAATATCTTTTTCATCGGCTTTAGAAATCAAAGAAGGAAAGCAAATATGGTCTGAATCATAGTTTATTTCATCATTTTGGCAAATACCATACACAAGCTTTGAAATTTCCTTCTCTTTCGCATCAAAATAATTTCTTTTCTCCAAAAGATATCTAATCTGCTCGTCATAGGTCTGATCAAATGTCCTTCGTGTTAAAGCAGCGATTAGATCAAACACTGACTCTTTATCTTTGTCAGTTTTCAAATCTAATAATTCAATCATGAAATTCAAGCCAGTTCTGAGGTCATGAGAGTTACTGTTGGTTTCTGATAGTGCAAAATCTTTTAATACGTTGATAATTCTCATAATCAATGAGTAATTATCAATTAAATTCGTAATGAAGCCAATAACCATCTCCGGCATCGATGGGACCTCTAATATTGACTGGAATGTTTTTGAGAACACTTCGAAATCCTTGTTATCCAATCCTGACAACAAAAATTTTGTCAATAATTTTGATGAATCTGAAACTATGGCTTTTTGGCGATAAATCGTGCTGAAACACGTTGATGCTGTAGGATACTTCTCAAATACAGCTACGAACTCATCATCCGTCGCTTTCCCGAAAATTTCATTTAATAATTCGAAACTTTCTTTTTGTTCGATTTTGGCAATATACGAAATTAGTTTCAACAATGTCGGGACATTATTTTCCAAAACAAATTTTATCGTTGAATATTTCGATATCAACGGAATTACTTCATTCAAAGGGTAATTGAACTTCGTAATTAATGTGAGGATGATGTTAAACAAGTAATCAGATAGTTTCGGGAAAATAAAACCAAATGAAATTATATCAAGTTGTTTTTTCTCGAATTTATGAGTATCGCTGATGTATTCGAGATACTTGATGATGATTTCGAACAATTTCTCAATGATTTCTTCCTTCTGTTTAGACATTAATGGAATAATATCAATTAATGAATTTATCATCAGATTTTGTTGGTCTTTTACGATATCTCGTACTCTATGCAACAATGTCTTGTATAAATCGAATGATTTTGCGTTCAAATCCTGTAAAATAACGAAATTATAGTTATCAAAACCTTGAAATTCCGAAAAAACAATCAAAATCGAATTCGGCTGCATAGAAAAATATTGTATTAAAAAATCATTCAATGCTGATATGTTTGAAGGGTGAACGATGTTTAATGACGAAGCAATTTTTTTCGCAACTTGGATTTGGAATTCGTCGTGTTTTGTTTTGCTCAACATGCTTACAAAAGCTTTGAAAAGTAGATTTGCCATTGAAAGAGTGTTGTTTCTTGATGAAATTATGAATAAAATTTCGACAAATTTATGTTCTTTCTGATTGTAAAAAAGTTCTGGGGATTGGAAAAACAGTATGAAAAACGGAATGGATTCTTCATAGTATTTATGAGTTTCGAATGGATTTAAAATAAATGTCATACAAATTTGATAAATTTTGCTACTTAATTGCGCAATGTAAGGAGAGCACATAATTTGAATAAGAATTTCAGTAATAAGTTGAGAATTTTCTTTGAAATCGAACTGATGTAAAATATTTACATCAAGGATTGATAAAAGCGAGTCCAAACATCCAGTAATCTGTTTGATATCTGATTTTGATAGATTTGTAATTCCTAATATTCTTTCAAAACGTTCTTTAATAAGTTTTAAATTTTGAACTTCGAAAGATGCACTTGATTGCGGTTGTGTGGATGATATGAGGGTTTTCAATTCCAAAAAAAGATTGATTATTGTAGAATTGGATGATTCACCCTCATCCATCTATCACAACAAAAAATTTGTCAAAAATCTTTCAAATTGATTTGACGTATTTGACGACAGAAATATAAACAGGTTAATAATATTTAGGGCTGTACAAGATTTAAAAAAACATTGCCGGGTTACCGTAGAGGCCTAAAAAAATCGCGCCTCGGCGGCAAGCCGCCTCGGCATTAAGAATGCGCATCTAAATTTTTATATGTCCTTCTTTCTTTTATTTTTCCCTTCCCTTTCTTTTCTTTTTCTTTTTTTTCCCTCCTCTTGCTCTCATTTACCTTTTTTTTCCTTTTCTCATCATTTTTCAAAATTTTAAATTTTTATCAAAAATCTTGCCTATAAAAGCAGACTATGGAACCTTTTAATGCCTCTTAATCAATATTATACAGCATAAAGCATATTAAATGAAAGTAATTACGTATAAATTTATTTTATTATCTTATTTATTAATTCTTTAGCATGTATTGTTTAATATTAACTTTTCTGTACATTAAATATGATATCTCCAAAGTATGAATGCCTTGTAACGAAACGAAAACTTAATTTTATGTTGAATATTTGTCACAAACATTAGATTATTAAAATATATGTTGGATATCCCTTAGTATGAGACTTCATGACTCTTGTAGTCTAACGTGAGCTTTGGATTGCAAGCTCTGTGGTTAACGAACATAAATTAATTGTAAAGTTTTCAAAATTTTTCATCGTTTCTATCAGCATCTATTTTTCCTTTAAAATAATATATTTGTATGAATACAATATTTAGTAATTTTTTTATTTCCCATAATTTCATTCAAAATTTCAGAAAAAATTAATTTCTATTCAATATTATTTCAGCTTCAAAACACTTCATTCTTATAGATGTTGATTCACTAAAGTGTGATACTCAATGTCTTATTTCAATGAAAATTGTTCTGCAAATTTATTTCACTTTTGACCTCACTTTTTCCGTAATTCAATTTTTTACTTTTAATATTTTAGATCTTCATAATATCATTTGAAAAATTAACCATATAAAAAAATCAAGTTAACAATTCACTTTTTCCGTAATTCAAAAATCAAAAATATAAATAATATATCTTTTTATCAAATATTATTATTATATTCTATGAAAAATGAGGTCTGGAAATTTTGCGGATTCCCGTAACTCAATTTTACGGAAAAAGTGCAGTAAACTATTCAAAATACGGAAAAATTGGTGTAAACTAATGATTTTACGGTAAAATCACGGAAAGTCCCGGAAGAATATATGTGCCTATATGAAATTATACAAAAATGAATCAAACGCATTTTAAAAGATTGTTCTTGTATTATAAATGCTATTCGCAGATTTATTAGTTGAAGAAAATTACCAAATTTTTGCCGATTTACAAAAAATGATTTACAAAGCATATTTTTATAAGGCTTTAAAAATCTTTAAAATGTGACCGGTGACGGAAATCCATGGTAACCAACCGCGGTTCCCGTTTGGAATGCCATAAATAATATTAATTTTGAAATACATTTGTTTGGCATAGCATTGAAGTAGATTTAACAGTTGACATTTCTGCGATAATTTGTCGCACCATGTGTGTTATCATGAGAAAATGGTAGAAACCGGGCAAACATATGGAGCATTATTTCTTTAGGGATGAAAGAAGAAGATATAATGTCCTCATTCGTATCTGAACTGAGAGCTATCATTTGTAGACATATATGAATATCATTATGAATAGTTTCCTTATGTAATAACTATATGAGTATATATGTTATAAATTTCATCACTTTGGAAATCGAAATTATATATATTTACTCGAAAACAAATTAGAGTCTAATTCAGACTTTTTATAAAATAATTAGGGACTTGAATTTTAAGTATTTGGATCATATTTATTGTCTTTTTAAATCGGAACTAGGTAAGAACACAAAACAATCATTTAGGAACATAAAGTTAATCAGAGATTCAAAGAATCATGATATGACAAAAATTTTTTAATTCCCTAAACTTTAGGGTAAAATTTCATATAAACGCTTCAATATCACTATATAGAGTGAATGATAAAATTCGGTATTGAATACATAAAACGAAAATCATTGAAAGTTATGTAGACTTTCATATTTCCTCGGATTGAGCTCTTTCAAATTCTCTGAAAAGTCCGGACAAATTTGTGAATAATGTAGCACATACATGAAAATATAAATACTATGGAACAGCAAATACATTTTTCATACTTTGCTGTTCCAAAGGATTGAGAGAATATTCAATATACAATCGTGAATTGAATAGGGTTAAGACTTTTCTAATTAAATTTTGTCGAAAGTCCCAAAATTGAATATTCGGATCACATTGTATAAAAGAATAGCTCTATCAAATATACCCCTTATCATATATAATCATATTTTCTTGCTCTATCAATTTTTTCTTAAAAAAAGATAGATTCAGTCTACCAAGCAGATTGTAAACATTTTCTTGAATATTCAATAAACGATAAAAGTTCTGAAAATTTGAATAGTTAGTAAAAATTTTTAAAGAATGTTATCTCTTCTATGTATTGTGGTGAAGAGAGATAATTCTTTAAATAACCGTAGGAGGTCTGAGTTTTGTAGACGATATAGAAGAGATAATTATGCTGCAAAATCCAGTCCAACATATGGATACGGGCATCCAACAAAATGCATAATTTCAGATTACGATAGGGAAACAGATAGAAAGAATGGGATAGCAACACTTAACTTCTATCGATGGGCCAATGGCATTCTTACTGAATCTAGGTTTGTTGAAAAGAATTATGATGACATATGCAACTGTGCATTGGGCTTATCTCTGAGTAGAAAACTAGAACATGGACTAAGTAGAAATGATACATGCTATTCAGAATCTGGAGGTAGAGGATGTTTGTCAAATTTTGCAGTTGCTGATTCAACTCCCAGTGCCGTTAGGGGCTTGTATAATGATCCGGGTGAATTTTCTTATGGCCATGGATTTAGTATATTAGGTGAAAATAATATTGATGTTACATTTTGTGGTGTTCACGATAGATGTGCATTTAGAGCAATAAATCGGTGGGATCTATTCGAAAATACAACTAAAAAATTAAGAATCTATAGACCATTTTTCGCATTTCCACCACCTGGGCCAATTGATAGGGCGTTAACAACGACATTTTGGGCATTCAATGGTGATTACAATAGTTATTCAAATGTCAATGTAAAAGTGAATGGAACAATTTGTACAATGAAATGAGGGCCAAAGCTTATTGGAGGATATATTAATTTTATTCCAAACTATACATGGACATATAATACAAAAATTGAAGTTATAGTTGATACAGCTAATGATACTAGGTATGAATATGAATATTTTACAACAAATTGTAGTGAACATATGCCGGATTATGTTTTTGATAGAATGATGGGAAGGAAATCAGAAGGAATGACTTGGTATCTGATTGTTTCATACTGTATTCTTTCAATTACATTTGTTGTCATAATTATATATGTCGTAGTTGTATTCATTAAAATCAAAAATATACAATTTGGCAAAACAAAGCAACCCGAAACACGAACGGAATCAAATATCTCTATCATTGATAAAGAAAAAGACATACCATCAGTTCCTAAAAGAGTTAACTATTCTCCTCCAGAAAATTCATCAAAACCATCCGAATGAAGATTTTTATAAATTAAATTTAAATTCAAATCCATTAATATACTATGAAAGATTCATCTCATTTTAATCATATTCATAAATACACGGAATTCTTTTGTAATCAGAAGAAAAACGAATTTTTGAAAATAAAAAAAAATAATTTCTAATTTTATTAAAATATATCTGATTCATATATACAAACATATTTATTTGCTATTCTGTATCTGAGGCATAATAGTCTAAAAGGGATTATAGTTAATTTATAGATATATGATATTTATTAGTAGCAAAAATCCGGAAAATCGTTCTACAAATTCAGATATTTTGAGAGAATAAATAAGTTATTAGAGACTAGGCTTCAAATGATTACTCCATAAAAATCGAGAAATCTGTTACTATAATATTATAAATGTACATTTTGGCATTGCGAAAACGATAATTGGAAATAATAATGCATTCATCTCCGGATTGAATCGTTCCAATCGGACATGTTTTGAAGCATTTACCTGAAAATAATTTGTACGGAGCATTACATCTTGAGCATATGCTGGAAGATGAGCAAGTACGACAATTTGAATTACAACTTTGACAAGAAGAACCAACTTTAAAGAAACCTGCTGGACATGAACTTAAACAATACCCTTGATGCAATATATATCCGTCACTACATTTTCTACAATCAGTTGATGACGTGCATGAATCGCAGTGTTCACTACATTTTGGTACATAATAGCATCTTCCATTAGTTAGCACAAATCCCTTTTCACAAGCCACACAATTTTCCCAAGCACATCTACAACAATGGGAAGTGCAGTAACCTTCAAGAACAGTGTCGCATTGATAGCTCAAGGAAAAAAGTTAAATTATCAAAATTCAGAAATTTACAAATTATTGTCAAAAAAATATTTCATAAAAAAATTATTTTCATGTCATCTCCGGCCAAGCGTGACTCGACTGGAAACCAATCACGTCGCGAATCAACTGGATCCGTTCTTAAAGGCAGAACCCATAGAATTAAACTAGAAGGAAGTTATCAAAAGAAATATATGCAAGAGATCAAAGAAATCGTCAAACAAACAGACTACTTCCTTGATCCAATTGGGACAAGCGAAGAGTTCAATGACAGATCAAATAAAAACAGATATAGCTCTCCTTCGAAATCCAGATCAACTCCAAAGAAAAAGGAGCTAACCGAAGAAGAAAAACAAGAACTTCTTCACAGGAAAGTCGAAGTCCACGTAAACAAATACAAACTAAAGCCTATTCGTGTTTCAACTTGCAGAGTTGCTGAAATTTCGGTCAAAACAACAGCGCAAAAGAAAACAGAAGCCGAAAATACCCCAAGAGTTACAGCACGAGACATAGAAAACCTCGAAAAAGCAAATCGTCAAAAACGCCAGCCATTTAGAAGCTCTGTTGGCAAACAAACAGGTCTTGCATATCAGCAGCAATATACTCTACCTCCTGTTAGCCAGAAATCTCCAAGAAGAACCTTATCTCCAAAAAGAGAAAACATTTCGAAGTCGAAAGTCAAAGAATCACCAAAGAAGGAAGAGGAAATAACACCTATCGATCAAAAGCAAACTGAAATCGAAGAAAAACCGAAACCAGAAAAACAAGTCAAAATTAACCCTCAAATTTCTGAAAAACAACCCGAAATCGAACAACATACAGAGGAAAAATCCGAAATTACAGAACCAGAAGTGGAAAATCAACCAGAAGAAGATGATGAAAATATTGATGAGAATCCACCGGAAGAACACGGCCAAGAAGGTAGTATCTTAGCAGAGCATGTTGAAGAGGAAGAGAAAACAGAAGAAACAGTTGAAAAAAGTGAAAATAATCTTGAAGAAGAAGAAAATCCAGAAAAAGAAGAAGAAAACAACACAGAACAACCAGTCCATGAAGCAGAGAAGCAGATGGAGATCATTCTTGAGCAAGTTCACGAGATATTGAACCAGAAAGAAGAAAAGAAAGAAACTAATGAGGAAGAAGAAGAAAAAACAAAAGAAACAAACTCTTATTCGAGTAATTTCGCAACTTTGGGACTCTCCGCTGTTCAAGAAGATGATTTAGCAATTGGCTCTTCAACTTCTGAGGAAATTTTTCCACAAACAGAAACAAAAGAAAGTCACCTAGACGAAACAAACATCTCCAACGAAGAAATTCATTTAGAAGAAGAAGAAAACGAAGAAATTCATTTGGAAGAAGAAGAAAACGAAGAAATTCATTTAGAAGAAGAAGAAAACGAAGAAATTCATTTAGAAGAAGAAGAAAACGAAGAAAATAATGAAGAAAAAGTTCAAGAAAAAGAAAATATTATTGATGAAAACAAAGAAGAAAATATTGAACAAAATGTTGAAGAAGAAGAAGAAAAGATCGAAGAAAATCAAGAAGATAAAGAGCAAATTGAAATTGAACAAGAAAATGTTCAAGAAGAAGAGGAAAACAAAGAAGAATTAAATGAAGAGGAAAAAATCGAAGAAAGTAAAGAAGAAAATATTTGTGAAAACAAAGAACAAATTGAAGAAGAAAATGACACATTAATTGAACAAAAAGAAGAAAATGTTCAAGAGGAAGAAGAAATCAAAGAAGAATTAAATGAAAAAGAAAATATCTGTGAAAAGGAAGAAAAAGTTGATGAATTAAATGAAAACAAAGAAGAAAATCTTCAACAAAAAGAAGAAAAAACAGAAGAACAAAAGAATGAAGAAAACATCGAAGAAGATGTTTGTGAAAAACAAAATGATGAAGAAGAAATAAATGAACAACAAAAAGAAGAAATTAAAGATGATGAAAAAGAAAACATTAATTTAAATGTTGAAGAAGAAGAAAACAAAGAAAATGAAGAAGTAAAATCGAGAGAAATTCATTTCGAAGTTGAACTTGAAAAAGAACAATTAACTCCAGAAGAAGAAAAAGAAATAGAATCCAACAAAGAAGAAGAAGAAATTGACGAAGAAATCAATCAGCAAAATGAAGAAGAAGAAAATTCTCCTGGAATTAATTTCGTTGTTGAATTAGTTAAAGAAAACCTTTCTCCAGAAGAAGAGAAACAAATTGAATCTCAACAAAACGAAGAAGAAGAAAATCAAAATGAAGAAGTTCACAGTGAAGAAGAAATCAATGAAGAAAAAGAAATTCATTTCGAAGTTGAACTTGAAAAAGAACAGTTAACTCCAGAAGAACAAACTCAATTAGAAACAAAAGAAAATGAATTTGAAACAAAAGAAAAAGAAATTGAAACTCCAGTTCAAGGGGAAGTTGTTGAAGAACCAACAAAAGAAGAAGTTTCTTTGGATGAAGAAAAGAAAGAATTCAACGAAGAAGAAGAAAATGAAGAAGAAAAGAAATCAAATAAAAAGAAAAAGACAAAAATTCCTCACATGTCTAAGGCCAGAATGAAACAACTGAAGAAGATGAGGAAAGGAAACTATTCTCCATCAAAACATGTCGAAGAAGACAAAGAAGAAACAAAACAAGAAGAGAAACCAAAAGAAGAACTAATTCAAAAACCAGAAGAAAAGAAAGAAGAAATTCATAAAGTTGAAGAGAAACCAAAAGAAGAATCTCCAAAATCTGAGGAGAAACAACCAGAAGAAAAGAAAGAAGAAAGTCAGCCGAATTCGTTGAGAAGTTACGTAAGTCCTCCTTCGTCTTCATCTGGAAGGAGAAGTTCGAGACTTCCTGCAGTTCCGATTTTGCCTCCAAGCAGTTCTTCAGATGATGAAGACGCTGTTTTGCCTATTTATAAGAAATGCGAATACTCTGCATCAGATGAATAACTTTTATTTATTTTTAAATGTAAATATTATTCGTTTTTTGTTTATTCTATATTAATTTTGCAAAATTAGAATCATTCTCCATTGTATTAGGACATTTTGAAAAAAATAATAATATAATAATTAACCTTTTTCTTATGTTCTCTTTGCTTGAAGATGATATTCAGGTAAACTAAAACAGCTGCTATTGGGAGCTGGAAATAATGGAATGCAAAGCACCAATAAAATTGCCAGCCAGTGTCTGCAATGCATGATAAATTAAGCATTAAGAAGATACAATATCTTAATATAATGATCAATGCTAATTTTATCAAAAATTAATAGCATTATCTTCTATTCCTTATTTTTATTTCTGGCAGAAATGAAAAATATAAGAGATTACTTCTGAACATTAGGATAGTTCTTAGAATTTAAGACTCCTTATCATCGGAACGAGTAAAAAAAATATTTTGATATATATCCACGCGGTTAAAAAGGTAACTCTTTAAAAAACTCTAATATTTACAATATATTAACATCTGTCAATAATCAACAACAAAAATAAATAATAAACAAAAAATAAAAGAATAAAATTCCAAAAAATCAGCAACAAGGAATATTTTTCTTATTTGGATCTTCTCTCAAAGTAGTTTTGGAATTAAAGTAATGCTGTTCTGGAGTTGCTTCGCGCATTAATTTTGTAATTTTTATGAAAAGTTCACGAATTCCAGAACCTGTTTTAGCTGAAACTGTTGTAAAAGAAAAATGATGATCAGTCGCCCATTTTTCAAGGTCTGAAATGTCTTTTTTTAGGTCGAGATCTATTTTATTTGCGGCTAAAATGCAAATGCATGTTGGATCTAGGTCATTTAGTGACATATATATTGTATCAAGTGTTTGAATGTTATTTTTTGCTGTGATATCTGCGACAAGTATTAAACCTCTGGCATTTCTAAGATATAAAGGAATTAAGCTCTGAAACCTTTCTTGTCCTGCTGTGTCCCAAATTGAGATTTCCTCTTTAACCCCATCTTCGAGTTCTATTTCTGTTTTAAATGATGTAGCGATAACTGTTGGCTCTGTTTGCTCGCCAAGTATGCCAGTGATAAAATTTTGTATAATTGCGGTCTTTCCAACACCAGAATCGCCGACTAAGACAACTTTTGGCTCGGGTTGAGTTCTGGAATTTCCAATCATTTTGAATAGCACTTTTTTATAAATTAAAAATTAAAAATAATAGTACACCATGAGCCTTTATGATTTTTATAAATTACAAATTTTTCTGAACAAATGTAAATAAAAAATTCAATTCGTCAGAGAAAAAAAAATTATCAAACTATCAAGTTTATCAGCTGATAAGAGAAACACATACAAATTGGCGTGTTTGCAACAGTTTGCATGAATAAACCTTATGGTTTGAAGTTTTTTTAGTTAATTTGATTTTTGAAAGCACTTATCAATGAATTATATATTCTCAAATATAATTGATAATAAGCTGGTTTCTTATATTAAAAATAAATATATCTTCTTTTAAAATATAATAATTATCATATTCTTGAGAAATTTTCTCCAAGTCCTCTGCTTGGTTTTGTATTTTCATTGTGATTCTCTTGCGTGTTTTCTTTGTCTTCACATTTTGTTGTTTCTTCAGTTTTTTCTTGTGTACAACACTCATCATCGCATTTTGTTGTTTTTTCGGTTTTATCTTGTGGACAACACTTATCATTGTCATCATCTTTCCTATCATTTCCTTGAGAGGAACCCTGAGAATTACTTCCTTGCCCAAATCTACTTTTTTGCTTGACTGGTTCAAGATTGATATTTTTAATGTTTCTAATGTCATTATACAGTTTTTCATGAACTGGAATGTTGATCGCATCAATACTTGAAATTATATATTCGATGGTTTCGAAAAGATTCTTATCTGCTTCGATGTCCATAGGAGGTATTATATTATAAAATTCTGGGTAAATATCCGCATTATTTGATATTAGAAGATCAATCATTTTTTCACCACTATTCTCGGAGCATAATAAGTTATAAGTATTCCAATCATAATAATTTTCAAGATATCTGAAAAGAATTACGTTTTTCTTACCTGCTACTCTTAAAAACGTATCATCAGTTATTTCCAATGCATTGTCATTTGCACCATGAGCCATAAGGAGTTCAGCCACGCTTTCATAATAATTATTTTCAGCAGCATAATGAAGTGGTGTCTTTTCAAACAAACCATGCTTTGCGTTGACATCTGCTCCATTGATGATAAGTAATTTAGCAATTCTTAAATAATTACTGTCTGCAGCAATATGAAGTGCTGTTCTTCCATCTAGAGCTTTCGAATCGACATCTACACCATTTCTTAAAAGAAATTCAACAATGTGATATTTATTGTATTTTACAGCAAGATGTAAAATTGGTAATCCTTCTTCATTCGTAACATTAATATCTGCTCCATGAGAAATAAGTATATCAGCTATTCCTGAAAAGCGAGATTTTATAATATTTAACTGCAGAGGAGTTAAATTATTATTATCCTTTATGTCCAACGCTGCACCATGGGAAATAAGTAGTTCGACAACTTTGTCTTCTATACATTCCAAAGTGGCAAAAATCTGAAGAGGCGTTTGATTTTTCAAGTTTTTTGCGTTGACATCAGCTCCGTTCAATATAAGAAGTTCAGCTATTTTAGGTTCGCCAACTTGAATAAGATGAAGAGGTGTGTTTCCTTCATTATCTTTTATATTCAAATTTGCACGATGGGCAACAAGAACTTGTGCTGTCTCATAAGAAGTTATATTGTTAACTGCATAATGAAGAGCTGTATAACCTTTAAATTCGAACACTTTCTCATTATTCCACTTAGGTTCTCCAATTTCATTAATTAAATTAATGTCTGCGCCCTTTGAAATAAGGAGTTCAGCAAATTGAGGAAGATTTTCTTTTGCACATAGATGAAGCGCAGATAAACCTTTGCCTTTTTTGGTTTGAGCATTTAAATCAGCGCCATGGTCAATAAGGAATTTTGTCATTTCCAAATTTTTGTTCTTAACTGCCAAGAAAAGAGGAGAAATTCCTTTATTATTTTGGACATTGATTTTCATTCCCCAAGAAATAAGGAATTCTGCAATTTCAAAATTATTATACTCAACGGCATAATGAAGAGCAGTGTCACCATCAACATTAGTTGTATTTATATCAACACCATATTGTTCTAATAATAATTTACAGAAAGGTAGGAAATTGAAACTTGGTGAATATGTAAAAATTTGGGAAATCAGTTTCGTTTCATTCAACAGAACTAATAATGCCGAAAGATTTTGGTATTTAGCGCAGAGAATTGGATCGATTTCAAATCCACATGTATAGAAAAGTGTTGTAATGAAATCAACGTTGTATGTAGCAATTGCAATTTCCATACAACTTTCATCTGGAGTTACTGCTGTCAAGCATTCTTGTAGGATGTCTGGATTTCTTCCTATAATAGCTATATGTAGCCAGTATTGATTTATTCTGTTTTTGTAAAAAGTTTCATGAAATAAATTATTAAAACATTTTTTTGCTCCATAATAGCAACATAATTCAGGTAAAGATACATCTGTACTTGGAAAATATGGATTATTTTGGATTCGTTTATTATCGCAAGTGATAAAACTGCTTTGATGGAGAAGATCAATTAAACTTTTGACGTCATCATTAAAGATTGCTTTGTAGAATGGGTCAATTTCATGAAACACTAATAAATTATCTCTTATGCTATTTAATTCCGGTTCTATGTCAATATCTGGAAAATATTCCTGATATAATTTTCGAAATATTTTGAGGTATGATTCCATGAACCTGTTATTGTATCTAAGGGCATTAAAAATCATACCTTTAACTTCACCGGGTTCCTTGTATTTGTTTCCGATCAAAAAATTTGATAAATTCTTGTATATTTCGTCGATTTCTTGGTCGTTAAATGTTGCTAACCTAAACAATGCAGCTATTGATTCAGCATATCCAAAAGTGCGTTCAGAAATTTCTTCAATATTAAATTTGGCTTCCTCCATGAGAAAGAGAATAAAATATCCATCACTTTTTGAAATTGAGAAAAAGTATACTTTTTCAATGTCATGGTCAAATTTTGATATTTAGAGAATATGAAAAGTTACAAAAATTGAAAATCTTGAAAGAATTTAATATAAATTTTGTAAAGCTTTCAAAAAAAATTAAAACACCTTAAGTGTGTTTCTATACCAAACCTTTCCAAAATGGAATATATATTATTGATAATAGCACGATTAATTTTCTGCCAAAATCGTATTTATTGTTGGAAATAATTAATATAACAAGTTATTCAAAGTTTCGGTTCAAACGGACGAATATAATTTTACAAAAAGTTTGATAAATGACAATGAAATATTTGAATAATTTATATTAATTTCTGAAGAGATAATATATGTTTATAATATATAATTATGCATTAATTTAAAATTGAAAATTTCTAATGGTTACAAAACAATTCAAAATTTTTGCTTTCAATGTCGTCGGTGAAAGTTATCAAGAGACTAGGAGAAGGGACATCTCCGACGACAAAGAAATCATATGTTAAAGATTTGATAACCCTGCAGAATGTGTCTCCAGTAATGATTACTGAATCACACACTATGCAAAGTTTATATCCTGATTCAAATCCTCCACCTAAGCCAATTGATCAGTTTGCTCCATATTTATCACGTAAGCTATCAAAAAAGAGACAAGAAAAGATCGATAAAATCAAAGGTCCTGCAATAAAAGAAACACCAACTTTTGCATTAGCCTCAGTACGATCAAGTAGCCAGATGGTTACACCACGTTCGCCAAAACGACCTGCACCAGACCCGTTTACTCCATTCGAACATGAAAAAATTGAAACTCCTAAAAATAACGAACAATTCCTTTTACATTTAAAGATGGAAGATACATTTGATAAGATTGCTTCTAACTCAGCTACAACAGCATTACACAAACTCGTTGAATCTACACTCCAAATCTATTTCCTTGCCGATGGAGTATATTTTTATCACGATATTCCAGCTGTTAAGATCCTTTACTGTCCAACAACGACAAATGGAGTACCCCATGGTACAGGATTAGTTGGTTTCACTCAGTTTACCCGTGAAATTGTAAATTGTGCCTGTGCATCAATGCATGAAAGCTATTCTCCGAACTACGAATCTGCTCAGATACCTCTAGACTCTCATGTCTTATCATTTCCGTTGTTCGGTGTTAGCGGAAATGTAAAAGCCGTCATTCAAGTGGTCAGATCAAAGAATTCACCTATATTTAACGCGCAAGAAGAATCATTTGTAAAGTATTTCCAAGAGAAATGTAAGAAATACGCCCCTTGGCTCTTCCAGCCCGTAATTGACGATAATTTTATAGCGGAATTGGTCGAAACATGCAGATTAAAGCAGTTTATCGAGCAGACAAGTGAAAAGCTAACTAAGTTATTCAACTGCCATGAAGCAGAAGTCTGGAGTTACAATACACAAACAAATATAATTTATAAATACACTTCTACATCAGATCAGCCCATAATTATACCACTAGCTGAAGCAGGAATAGCAGGATATGCACTAAGAAGGCAAGTTCCTGTCTCCTGTCTTCTTGCAAAGATACATTCTTCATATGTAGCAAAAGCAGATATAAATGGAGACTTTTCTGTACTTACGATACCGATAAGAGACCAAGACAGACCAATTGTTTACGCTGTTGTCCTCAGAGGAAAAAGATTACCAAGTTTTTTCACAGAAAATGACGAAAAAATACTATCAAGAATCATTCCTTACATCATATCTTCACTCAACAGTGCATTAAATGTAGAAAAGAACTACCAGAGCCTCGATGAAAGCATGAAACAACAAACAAGTTTGAGATCTTTACTCGAAGTAGCAGAAATACTCAGTGGAGAGCTCAAAATCGATGACCTTATACCGAAAATCATGGCAAGAGCTTGCGAATTAGTAATGGCGAGCAGATGTTCTTTATTTTTGGTAAATGATACGAGAGATAAACTAATTACGACTTATAGCGGTGGCCTTAAGAACGCTATTGAGGTCCCTATCAAGTCAGGAATCGTAGGATATACTGCAACAACAGGAGAAGTTTTAAATATCAAAGATGCTTATGAAGATCCAAGATTCAACAGGGCGACTGACTTGAAAACAGGTTACAGAACAGTTACCGTTCTCTGCGTACCGATTTTCGATAACAAAGGTATAGTAAGAGGTGTGACAGAGATGATCAACAAAATCGACGGTTATTTTTCAGAGGAAGATGTAAAACTCATTCAAATTTTCAATGTCTTTACTGGCATTTCTCTTGACAATGCTCAATTGTACAAAGCATCATTAGATTTGAGTTTACAGATGAGAACATTCATGGATATGTCTCAAACTTTAACTCAAACAAGCGCATTAAAGAGAATGTTGGAAGATATCTTGAAGAATACACGTCAGGTTGTTGGTGCTGTCACAGGAGCAATATACATTGTCGAGGACAACGGAATTTCGGACAAACCAACAGTTATGGACGAAGATATGCAATCTCGTATGGAATATTTCGAAAAATTAAAGAAAGAAGAAGACGGGGGTGCAGAAGCCAACTCATTAAATGCAAAGAGAGCAGCATTAATGCGTCTTATCCGTGGAAAACAGCCCGGACAATCAGATTTGACACAAGACGACATCCACAGGAAAGAACTCGTCGAGAAAAGTGTTACCGAGAAGCAATCAATCATTGACAACGACAGCGACAAAGCAGAAAAGTCAATGATGGTATGTCCAATCATAAGTAGCGACAGAATTGTTCTTGGAGCTGTTTTAATGCAATGGAAGAAGTCAAATCCACAATTTAACTACGATGATCTTCGATTACTTGAAAGTTACTCCGTATTTTTGTCAATATCTCTTGAGCGTTCCATTTTGAAGAAGATTGCGATGAAAGGAGGTGCAGAAGTCGAACTGCAGAGCTGGCTATCCCAAAGCGAGCGATTCCAGCAACTTATCCCTCAAAAACTTAAATTAATCGAAGAAGAAAGGAAAATGATTTATTCAATTGACTTCACGCCCGTATGTTTCGACGGTTATGGTCTATTCAAAGTTGTTTTTGAAGTTTTTATGGAATTCAATCTTTTCCAAGAATTTCATATAAATTCTGAGACTTTGTTTAGATTTTTACATGCAGTAAGAGAAGGATACAACCCAGTACCTTACCACAACTTCCTACATGCTGTTGATGTCATGCAATTCGCTGTTTATTTGCTGAAAAAGTCGAAATTAGAATCCGAAATTTCGAAATTTGAAATTTTGGGACTGATTATCAGCTGCCTCTGCCATGATATAAACCATGATGGCTTCAGCAACTCATATAATGAGAAAGCGCAGACACCTCTTGGCATTTTGTACAAAAATCAAAGTGTTTTAGAGACACACCACTGTTCTGTCTGTATTTCGATCATGACGAGAGAGGACTGTAACCTTCTCAAGTCATTGAATATCTCTGATACCCAGAAAATGTGGAATTTGATTATTAATTTGATATTAATAACAGATATGGCCAAACACTTTGAATTTTTGCAGGAACTCGATAAGATAATTAATGAGAAACGTGATTGGAGGCAGAATGATCGCCAAACAATCCTCCAAATGATAATTAAATTATCAGATATCTCAACTATCTTCAGGAAGTTCGAATTGGCTGATCGATGGACTGCTGTGTTATGTGAGGAGTTCTTTAGACAGGGAGATTTGGAGAAAGCGGCTGGAATGGAGTATACTTCGCCATTGAACGACAGAGAACACTTGGATAAGTCAAAATCACAGATTGGATTCTACACAAATGTTTGTCTGCCATTTGCAAACAAGGCTGCACAGATTTTGGACGGTTTGGATGATGCTTTGAAGAATGTCAACGAAAATCTTCAGACTTGGAAAGAAAGAGTTGAACAGGTTGGTTACGCAGCTAATCCTGCAATATCTGATTCTGTTTCCTCTATTCTTGTGCCCCCTCCACCTCCTCCAACTTAATTTTATTTATTATTTTTGTTATTTGTTTGAATAATATGAATAAATTTTGTTGTGCCAATTATTTATTTTTCATCTTGTATATCTTTACATTCAATGATGTCATTTTAGCAGAAGAAAAATATAATATTATTATTTTTTTCTAAATGGCTGATTTAAATCTGTATGAGTTAACCACATATGAAATGTAAATGAAATTGCAAATTCAAAAAGTCTCAGATATGATAAAGAAAGCGAAACTCTAACAATAGCACTGATTCATTCAAAATAATCCAAAAATAAAGAATAGATACTCTTATCATCCAATGAATATATCATTTATGGAAAGGGAAATTCATTTTATTAGAGTGGTAATTGTTCGCGCATCTCACCTTTTTTTGATAGATGCAAGGAGCAGAATCAAGCAAAACAATGGTTCAGAGTCTATCAGAGAAAAGCACTGCAAGCTGAAAAAGAGAAAACTGGTAAGTAAATTAGAAAGGCAGTTTTATTTGCTCTTTAGATAGCTATCACGAAGATCATTATATGTTGCTCCTTTTAACAAAATTTACTGTAAATTCAATGAACAAAGCAATCTCCAATGAAATCATTTATACTTATTTAATGCGGGATCTTAGTTATGGAGATTTTCTAAATGATAGAAGATATTAAGTGATATTCTATGGTTTCAAAATTTCAATAATGCTTGACAAAATTGATGAAATTCAGTACTAAATACCAGAAATAATAGTGTTTCAGTGTCAATTTTGCTTATTAAACCTTAGCATTATAATGTGAAAACCAATAGCCACGAATTGAAATATTATCAGAAAGAAATTCCGAAATACAATTTTTAATGAGCACGTATGCTATCAACAAGCTCCACACTAAAAATGCTATCTTGTCTACGCAGCAATTTATTTAATACTGAGATGTATTAAAAAATCTAATCTCATCAAAAAAAAATAAAGAATTCCACTTATACAAGCAGCAGAAAACTGATATTTTTAGGAGCGGCGAAATTTCTTATCTTACGGAATAATGAACACCACTCTTCAATGCAGTAAAAATTTGAAAATTTTGAGAAGTTGTAAAAATTCTTATTGATATGGAAAAAGAAAAAATCTCCTCCCGTGTGGATCGAACACACGACTTCCAGATTAACAGTCTGACACTCTAACCAACTGAGTTAGGGAGGATTACATTTTATCAATTTTTATAAATTAAAAGATATTAAAATGTATTTGTCAAAATGGAATGAAATAAGTGAAGCTTTAAATTCTTTCTCATATATGTTTATCTAACTTTTATAGTTCTTTTGAGAGGAGGTTCAAATTATTTTTTTGAATGGTCTATTGTAATTCATTTCAATTTTTGTGATCAATTACAGTCATTTTCAATTCACATAAAATAATTCATATATTTCATTTATCAAATTAACTTTTTTCTTTTTTTTTGCTATAAATTATTTGAGAAAATTTCACCTTATATTAGCTTCCTATCGAATGATTTACCACTGTCTGTAAAATAATTGAGAATTAAGTCTCATCACACTTTTCAATGCTCGATTTTTAAAAACTGTTTAAAAATGGAGCTTATATTGAAATAGTGTAGAGACTAAAAATTACCACAGACTATTTCAGAGGATTGAGTGGCAACTCAATCCTCTGAAAAGTCTGAGGTAATTTGCAAAATTAAATATTCGTATCAAAAAATAATTTATACAGTATGATATATGATGCTATGTCCATCATTATTTTTCCGATTAATTTTTTGTACACTTATTAAATTATTGATCGAAATTCAATGTCTTTTGGTTTCTTATTAATTAATTGAAATTATCAAAATCAATTTTATAGTCTTGTTCTATAATATGTTATTGTATAAATTCCTTAGCATTTTTCCATTTTCAACCTTAAAATTTTTGAATGTACTTCCTACTTACAACTATTCAAAACTTCCTAACTTCCTCACAATTATTTATTTATTGTTTATGAACGTGTGATATTCTGCATTTATCAATCAAATTATTGAATTCGGTTTTCAATTATATAATTCAAATTTTTTGAATATAACTTATTTCTCATTTTCCCAATATTTAATTATCCATATGATCCATTTAATACCAGAAGAATTTAGATACTTGAATACCTTATGCAGTACCAAGCTATAGAAAACGATGAATTCAAGCTCCGAATGATCCAAAACTCTCCAAAATTTAATTCTGTAACATCAATAATAGAACATCAGTTCGATGGAAAGGCCCCAATTGACGCGTTGATGATATTTGCTAACCTGATGTCAAAGAAGAATGGGATAATTCTTGATCGATCAGCAAAAAGAAATAGGACAGCATTATTATGCTGGTACACAGAGAATTGGGAAGTAATTTATCCACATATCAGTGAAATTAATCCATTAAAGAAAGACCTCCACAGGATCGCACCAGTTCAATCGAACAATACAATTAATCCAACTGTAGATCCATCAGATCTTCTTCAATTGTTGAATATTCATTAAGTTTCTGTTATACAATTTCATAACTTTATAGTAAATGTTTGATATACTATTATTTTGTCTTATATTTTTTGATAATTTTGTTTAAATTTGAAATGTTTATAAATATTGTATAAATACCACCGATTTAAATGTAAAATAAATATTTGTGTTATATCTTTCGTTGTTGTACATATTATCTTTTATATCCTGCATAAAAAAATAATTGACAATTTCCAAAATTGTTGAATTAGACAATTATTTTGTAAGATTTCATATTTTCATCATATATCTATATGTGAATTATACTACCCGGTTAAAAAAGAATGAAATTTTTTATCTGGAAAAGTCAATTATAATTATATTCTAATTTTCTTTTGGCACATGCATCTCTTTCATATAAAAAATCTAAATTCCAGTCGCGACCACATTGAATCTGATGTCTTTTTGGGAATTTCTTGGAAATGTCTGAAATCATCTTGATTAAGGCTTCTCTCCGGCCAAACAGCTGTATCGTCGTTTGACTTCACATTTTCTCGCGAGCGAATGATTTTTTCATCTCGAGAACAAAATTTTTTTGAAAAAATACAACTTGAGCTCATTCGAATCACCGGCCAAAGGACACAATAAATCCTTAATATCAATGCCAGATTCTAATTTTTTCTTCGCAATCAATTCTCAATTACGAAAATTTATGCGATATACCTGTAATCTTCTTACGATATTATAATATGTACTGTTAGTTTATCTCGATTAATATACTCTTAAAGACAAATTTAGCGAGAATAATCAAAAAATTTACAAAATTATTATATCCTATTAATCTGGACCTATAAACGTTTGGTTCAGTTAAGTATTAAGAAAATGTAAATATTTGGAATAGGAAATATGAGATTAATGACAATGATATTTGTTTTTTTACTTAACTTTGAGATTTTTGCATATTTTTAGTGTTGACAGCCTTGGTATGCTGAATAATTCCCAAGTCAATAAGTTCTGTCCATCAAAATATAATTAATTGTTCTCATATCTTATAATTTTTTTCATACAGTGAAAATTATACTGCAGCGTGATAATATATATAATTCTAAATTGTGTGTATATAGAATATTACATGAATGGATTGAAAATATGAAGCATTAATCTGAATATTGAACTTTGGATATCATTTCAAAAAATAGTATTTATTTTAATATCGCTGTAATATATAGATTCCATTATCGTTAAAGAAATCCAAAAAAAGTCACTTCACATGGCTCGGAGTCCACACTCAAGTTGATCCAGCAAAAATTTCAAAATTGTTTTAAAAGAAAAATGAGACTGCCAATACTTTTAATTTATCGTAAAGGTACTATACACAGGAAATAGAAGAAAAATTATTTTAATAAAATATTATTGGAGATCAAAACGAAACTATCAAATATAAAGGATAAAAACGTGTTATAAAAAAGAGGAACTCTAACATGACTTGCTTACCTCTCGCATATACACCAAAAATTAAATCAAATTCCAGCTGTAATACAAATAAACATCTAAATTTATCATCATTTATACTAATTTTTGAATGTTTACTATTCTGGATAAAAGTGATTGAGTGTTTTAAGAAATGAACCAAAATTAAATTTGATAACTTGAAGAAATAAAGATACTATAATATTTTGTGCGTTAACCTCTAAGTTAAGCTATTATGAACATATTTTTTTCAATCAAATTTCGAATAAGAAATACCTATTATTGAATAATAGAAATTTCGACAAACTTACAATATAAACCTATTATAAGACATAAAATTTTGTTATATTGCAGTGATAGAATTTAAAAATAAAGTCGTGGTAAGTCTGCAAAAAGATTTTAACTTCTATTTTTTCCAAAAAATATTGATGTTTTAAAATACGTTTAAAAATTTTATACTTTAATTGGATTTTTTCTAAAACATGAAAAATTTGGAAAATCCCAACACCTTTAGATCGTTTTAGCTGTCTATCAACTACTATCTGCACTTCAAAAAACATCGAAATACTCAAATTCGTATATCTGATTTCATCATTCATGCAAATTGCTTTTTGCAAACAAATGTAAATGACATATTATCAAAATTTACACCATTTGCACACTATATTATTAGCACCAGGTATGCTTATATTATAATTTATTAAACATAGGAAAATCACGAATAAAAAGTATATTCAATTTCTTTGTCACTACTTGCAGAAACATATCTTGCACATAAACAGCTAAACTGACAGTATTTTGAAAAAATATATCAAAACGAGTAAACAAAACATTATACTTTCCTATTGAAAAGTATTTGATTCATGAAATAAATTGTTTCTCTCTTACGTGTTGTGTACGTTCTATGCTAAAGTTTATTCAATGGATTTAATCTGAAAGATATATAGTCGTTGAGTTGATAGAATATAGATTATGCCTAGTAGTTCATTTTTAGTAAATTTGTTTTGATCAAAATTCATTTTTAGTTTTGATTATTGTAAATCCAAAACCATGATTTTGAGATAATATTTGTTTCGAGATTGTCAGTATATGAGCATTTCATTTTTATTATTATTTTGCAAAAAAGTCACTTCACATGGGGTTGGAGTCCACGGGGAAGGTCAGCTAGCAAATTTTGAAACTCAATGTTGGACAAAAATAAAATGACAAATACTTTTGATATGTTATAAGCTTCTTATATTTGTTAAAAAATGAAGCTCTTTTTTTCATGGTTGGTAGTAGTAGGATATGACGGGTTTAGTGACTTTTTTTGTTACATCTATATATAGACGATGCATTAAAATATATTTATTTATAAATCATTAAAAAAATTAACATTAATTTTAAAATAATTTATTTTTTTATCTTTTATAAAAGAAGCTATATATAGATGATGTCAGATATTCCGCGATTAATTAAACATTGTTTAAATCCTGAATGGGTTAAACTTCAATTTAAAAATGAAGATTGTGAATTATTAAATGAATATGAAAGCCAAAATAAGCTAATGAGGTATAAATATAATGATAAAGAATATTTAATTTCATGGAATCAATGGAGTCATAATCAAAGACCTCATAAACGAGAAGAAGAAATTGAAAATAATGAAATGGAAATCATTGATGACATTAAAGAGGATGGAATTCCTAAATTTTGTAGAAAAACCTTTAGAACTAAGTTAGGAGCATATAAACGTAGAGTATTAAATCCTGAATATCTTAAACATCAATTTAAAAAGGAAGACTGTGAATTATTAAACGCTAATGAATATGAAAATGCTAAATCAAAACTGAGATATAAATATATTGGAAGTGATGAAAGGTGAGTAGTAGGATATGATGGGTTTTGTGACTTTTTTTGTAAACGTAAGAATTCATACAATATCGAGCGATTTTGTATCATTTTTTTTAACATATGAAGTAAAAAATGTATGATTCTTACGGTTTTTATTCTTACGTTTTTGAATAAATCAAGATTTAAAAAATTTTCAAAATTGTAAGACATTTACACTCAGCCCATACATAATGAAATAAAAAATAAAAATTTTTTTAAAAAATAAACCATTAAAAAAATTAAAGTTATTTTTAAAATAATTTATTTTTTTATTCTTACATAAATGACCCAACAAGTAAAACCAGATAAAATAGATTATCGAATTTTAGAGGATGGAATTCATATAAAAATAAGAAGTCTGTTTGACCTTAAGAATGATTTATATATAAAAATAAAATAAACTTCTTACGAAAAATTAAAACTTAGTTATGTTTATTATTTTATTTTTTTATTTTGTATGAAATGAGCGTCAAAACTAACAACGTTAAAAAATTAGGATTCACAAACGAGGAAATAAAGGATATATTAGAGGAGGTAGGTTATGAAGTTAATAAATATTATTTAAGAAATTGTCAAAAATTTGCCGAGTTATTAAATGATTTAGATTATGATGGAAAAATGAATAAAGATGATGTTATAAATTTCTTATATCCCACATCTGAAGAAGAAAAACCTAAAGAACCTGATGTTTTCCCTGAATATTATGAAGAACGGATTAAAGATGATGATGAATACAATGAAATTGAAAGACTGAAAAAAATAAGAGATGAAATAGATGAAAAAATTAAGGAATTAAGAGAAGTTGAAAAATATAATGAAAATGAAGTAGAGGGTTGAATGAATATCCCAGCTTCAGAATCAGAAGTACAGAAATCTCATGAAGAAAGATATAAAAATTATGTCTCAGAATCAACACAAAATTTATTAGATGGTGAAATAGACGAAACACTTTCAGAAGAAGGTACTAAATTTATTCGTAAACATAAGTTACAATTTATTGATAATGAAGAATACCCCTGTATCCTACTTTCACCCCCTCTCGATTCTGAGAAATTCAAAAAAGCTCTTAAAAACGTAACATATGCAACTAATACGATTAAGAAAGAAGATCATGATATTTACACAAACTATTATTTAAATAAATGCACAGGTGTTGATAAAGTTTTTGATTTATTAGATAAAATATCAAAAGAAACCATTGGAACCTATAAAATTTTGTGTGATTGTGGTTTCATTGTTGAAGATACCAATAATGTTTCATATGAAAGAACAGCACCGAAGGAAGATGAAGTGGAAAGGTCTATACCATTCGTTATTAAGAACATAAAAGATATGAAAACTTATAAACATTATATTTATTCATTTATTTCAGAAAAAATGGAAGCAACCCATAAAACATCTTCTCATCATTTTATAGCTATTCATACATTCCTTTTCAAAGTTGTGAAATTAAATAAGACAGGAATTAGATTTAATGTATCAGGGTACGCATTCTTGAGTAAATTAAAATGTATTCGTCACGTCGCGGATGATAAAAATTTATGTGTTCTTAATTCATTTTATGGGCTTTAAAAAATAAACTTTATTTTTATTTATTTTTTAATTTTTTATTCTTACATAAATGAACAAAAACGGAACAGCTAAAATGAATGATAATCAAATTAGAGCAGAAGGTAGAAGGTTATTTAAACGCTTCTATA